CTAAATACTAAAACTTGTGCGCACTGAAATTTCTCAAAGTTAAAAAACATTATTAGCGTCTAGATTTCTGGCTAGTTCTCTAGCTCTTATTGATTCTAAGGTATGCAAGTGGCATCGTTATGCCGGGCTTATCAGACACGGATATGACGGCATCTGGATGTAGAGCGTAAACTGTATAGAAAATTATGTTTTAAATAATTGCGTTACTTCTTTTGCTTTCTTAATGGCAACATGTAAAAATAATTATGTCTTCTAGATTGAGAAAGGTTTATCTACTACATCAGACGAAATAACAAGCTTTATCATAAAATAAAAACTTGAACTTAGATTTTTCCTTATTTTGCTGTCTTTTGGCATTGTTTTAAAGTATTGTAAAATAAAGCAGTTGAGAAATGTACTCGCGCTACTCAGCCGTTCTTATCACGGTCTAACCCTTCAATCTCGGTAGTTCCTAATTCTCAAAAGTTTAGAGTTGTGCACTTACAAATATGTTTGCAGTTTTTTTTATTAGTTTTCTACCTGCTACAGCTTGTTAATGGTCTCAGTAACGCAAAATCTGAAAGCTAATTATTTGGCTTATCAACAAACTAAAAGTAGTTATTGATATCTATGAGCAAATAAGGGTACTCAAGCGCTGAGCAGTTCTTTAGTAGATTTAATTCGCTTGAGCAAATTCTGTCATGACAACTACTTGTAATTCCTTCAAAAAATACAGCGATATGGTTCCGCTGACAATTAATTTAATTTTTTACTACCTGGCTAAAGCTGATTTTTTTTAGCAGCAATCTCTATAAATTGCTTTAAATCGGAGCGTGTTTGTAACACACTGGATTCATTAGTAATGTCGTAATTGACTGTTTAAAGACGTGTTTAATCTTCAGTAGATTCTCACGCTCTTTATTAAAGAAACCAGTTTTTATTGTTCTTTTGCTCGTGAATGGCAGCCTCGGTAGAAAACAGTAAGATTTTTGTGCGTAGCAACTTATTCTCGCTCAGGCAGGTTGAAGTGTTATCGAGCCTTCTTTGTTATTGTCACTTTCATTTTTCAGTTTTCTTGATCTTTTGATGGCGATGTAGTATCAAGGTATAAGAACCATTCTTCGCCTGAAACATAGAGTGTTCAACCTTTTAATCATTCATTTTCCATTACATGATAGCAGATCTTAGAAGCAGGTGTTGTTTTCACTTATTCTCTCAAGTCTTCCTTAAGCTATTTCAGGTTTAGAATAGTTCTTGAACTTTCAACAAATTTGATGAAATCATTATTTCTAGTACCAAAACGAATGCTTTGTAAACTGTCATTTAACGCGGTCTTTTTTCTTCTTTTTTTTAATTAAGCTTTTTTATAGTTTCTGTTGCAACTTCCAACAGCAACTTTAATTAGGAAACTGATGTCAACCACTCTGATATGTTCCTAGTGAAAACATTACCTAAACCCCGTAAGCAATTTGTAGTTGCTAACGCAATTGGGGGTACTGATTACCAAACGCTGCGATTTTGGTCTTCAGATTTCTCTTAAACTCATGTTGGGACTACGCCTCTTTCGGTGTTTAGTATTAGGTTAGTGGACACTCTGATATCTAAAATATCCTGTAAACATGCAAAAGGAACTCGGCTGTTTCACGTGGCCGGCCATTCCAATGAATAACGTCCCCGCCCTCATGCCCACAACACACAAATAGTATGAGAACTCTGCTTGGATGATAAAAAAGCTTCTGTTGATCTTCTCATCCAAACCATTCACTTGTTCCGTATTGTCATTTTCATAACAGCACTTAGATCTGTACCTTAAAATTAAAGATTAATTCAACGTGTGAGAGTTTCCTTCTCTATTAAAGTTTGTCACGTTATTTTTTAAAATGTCTTTACATACTTTACCACCATTTTGTAGCGCATGCGAGTTATTTCCTCTCAGACGTCATTTTTCTAATTTTAAAAGAAGCTATTGCTATTAGCTGTTAAAAAAGCTATCAATAAAGCTATTGCTCTTTTGAACTTTACCACATTTTCTTCAAAGAGACCCCTCTTTTAAGCTTATCTTTTGAGGCACCCATTTTCGGGGTTTGAGTTCTCTTTTCTTATAGCAGGATATTTTCAGGTGCCTTTATAGGTAACATTCAATTAATTTAAAAAATAACAAGTTTACCAATGTTAAACGCCCTACAATTATAGTAAAATTTATTTTAATACAGTGTAAATATAAAGTTTATCACCATGTAACGAAAATGACCAAGTTTACCACAATATATAACAAAATTTACCACAATACAATAGAATGTAATACAATTAGTACCATCAAATTATGGGCTTATCAATTTTTTGTTTAAATTTCTCATTTTCTCTAGTAAAGGTAAAGTTTTTGCTGTGTTTCTCCAAAGTTCCTCAGAGCATTTTTCACAAGTTTTGAATAAAATTGGTAAAAGTTTTACATCGTAGTTGCATTGTTGCCGTATTTTTTGATACTAGGTTAGTCCTGGTACAGAACTTGAGGACGTACGGTCTCAGTCATTGGAGTTTATCTCGTAGCGATTAATTTTGATTAGTCGCTGTTCCTTCAATCTGCTGAATTCCACAACTGATACTTCTCCAAAGGGCACTTCTTTTTGCAGTTTGTCGATGACCATTACATCAGGTCGGTTGTGAGTGATGATTGCTGTTGTATATGTTGCAGTATTCCAATATATGACCGTTTTCATTTTCGACTTTGCTTGTGATGGTATTTGTATAACGTACGACAGGTAATCAATATCTGCAACATAGCGAATGTTATATGTTCCTGAAAAAAAAGTCGCCTATTTGAGATTAAAGCCTCGTTTTTTTGTGCCAGGACCGCTCGTGAAACGATGAATATCCTGCTTTTTTAGGCACAGCCAAAGTGTCTCAGGTCAATATTATTAACAGATAATGACCGTTGAGGCTTAGTGGTTGTTATAGACCATGGCTAGCGAGGCATTTGGTGATAGCATGCCTCGCTTCGTCTGGGGCATATACAGTGTTTTGAGTCTCTCGCGTACCCACATTTCCCGCAACTTTTGCCTTCGTTCTTATTAATAGCTGGTCCTTTGCAAAATTAGCACCCTCTTGACAAGTAATTGTTTTTCTTACTATCTTGGATCTAACGTACTCTTGGTTTGACCACAGAACAGAGTTCTCATTGTTCAATCCCTCGTTTCAAAATATAGACCGAGCAACTTCTAGCAATTTCCAGTTATTAAACATTGCTTTGTTCCACTCATCTTCTATAACATTTTGCAGGGCAATCAGAAGCTCTTGTATTGTAGTACAACTTCGTGATTGACTTTTAATTTGGATAGTTGTGTAACCCAGCTCGTTTTCTT